TATACTTTGCTAAAAGTTTAAAAGGTTCCAAATATGTGTATTAACTAATTTAAAGGTTGTTTGACAGATTTTAAGAAGATTTTTAAAAGGTTGGATATTTGACTTGTTCGTCCAGGCTTTTTGATATCATCAACAGCTACTTTTTCAATACAAATGGACCTCCTAAAATGACATACCTTGTCAATGGTCATTTGCAAAATTATTTTGTTAAAACACATTCTGATTGCACACGCAAGTACTCGTAAGTTGACATAATAAAGATGCTTAAGTTTCTGATTGACAAGATTTATGTGGTTTTTGGAGACCAGGCCTTCCCATAATCTATTGGAATTCCCATGGGTACCAATTGAGCTCCATTATCAGCAGACATATTTTTGTATTCATATGAAGCAGAATTTGTGCAAAATCCTATGCGTGAAAAGTGGAAATCACTTGCTGTGACCTTCAACTCAACATTTAGATATATCGATTGTCGTACTGTCTATTAACAATAGTTATTTCCATTCCTATGTCGATACGATATATCCTGGTGAACTTGAAACAAAAGATACCACAGAGTCTGACACATCTATTTGATAGTTGGATATTTTACTTGAAAAAGACGTTAATGGTAATCTAACAACAAAGCTATATGATAAACGTGATGACTTTTACTTTGCTATCGTCAACTTTGCTTACTTATTCAGCAATATACCTTCATCACCTGCATACAGAGTGTATATATCTCAGTTGATTCGATACGCAAGAGCATGTTCTACGTATGAATAATTTCTAAAACGAGGTAAATTATTGAAAATCAACAGTCTCGTTTGAAGTCATCATTTCGTAAACTGTATGGTCGATACAATGACCTTGTCAGCAAATACAATTTATCATTGAGACAAATGCTGACTGACGTTTTTCATACTTAATTATTGTTAGTCCATTATTTATACACTGAATTGACGATGGATTTCCCCGATCATGACAAGGAGCACATGGCAGGTGTGACCAGTCAGCAGGGGATGCTCACTCCTCCATGGCACCTGATTCCACCTCTGATGTTTCTGAGGTCCGTGTTTGCTCTGCTCCTATTTTGTATTGTTTTATGGACTTTGATATTGAATACTGTTCGTTATCTCCATATCACTCTGTAAGAATCAAGGGGAAACATTTACACATTTTATCCATAACTGTAAAAAGATATCCTATTCCACAGTAAGAAGGAATCTCATTTTATTAGAATCGCCCCGCGTACCGCAGTGGTTAGAGTGTATGTTGTAGAGTCGAGGAAAAAGGAGTTGATCATTACGTCACACGTTCGAATCCCACTGTGGGACATGGAGACCGATCCTTCGGAAGAGACCGTATAAACCGAGGTCAGGTGTCGCAGTCGGCGCTTGCACAAAAAAGATTCCTCACTGCTCAATGGCTGTAAGTGCCGAGTATATGACAAAATTTGCAGCTCTCCGCCTACAAGTGGTGGCGTCTCTATTTGAGTGAAAGACTGTCTAGGGGTACGTCACATAACTTACAAAGAGACAATTTACGAGACTGCCGAATTTCTTTTTTCCTCAACATGTTACTATTAAAATAACTTACCTTGTTTTAGAATTTTTCATATGCAGAAGATGCTCATTTCATTCCATTGTGTTGACAAAAGTAAATTAATGACAACACTGGCTTTATGAGAGCAATGAGAGCATTAAAAATAGTACTTCGAATAGAAGAAAAACTCAATCATTTTGTTAGATTGTGATTTCTTTATTATTTGAACCCTCTTGCTAAAGTAAAGTTTGAAATCTTTATTGTTAAGTTTTAATGTAAAGGTTATGGCGCTTAGATTGGCTTCAACATATATATAGTAGACTCCCAAACTGATAATTAGCTTAAAAAGTCAAGCCGAATAGTTTTAATTCCATCATTATCTTTCAAGCGAGCAATTATTTCTGTGCCAGCAAACTCTAGTTCAACATTACACTCGTAATGAGTAGGAAAACCATTTTTAGGAGGTTCTATTTCTATTGTCCCTGTCTCGAAACACCCTTCCTCAGTGACGTATTTCGGATTTTTCTTTTCAGATCGAAAAAGGATACATCGGATCGGCTTGAATCGCTTCTCTTTTCTGTCGTCATCTTTAAAATATTCCTCCAAATCATATGTACGAACTTCACCTAGTTTTATCATATCACCTGCATTATAGAGTGGTCTAAAGCATTGTTTACACCAGGTATCGCCTTCTTGTCTTACTTTCTTGCTCTCATCATCTTCTCCTACAATAAAGGGTCTCATGGTTTGGATTCCGTACGAATACCTACAAACACGCGCTTTTATCACATTGTTTTCGTGTCCATAGAGTACTGCACCGTTAAGAACGGAAACTGATGAATCAAGAGGAACATAGACAGGTATATTTTTAGCATATTTTCTGATTTCTGTAGTCATGGCAGCGGATTGGGCTATTCCTCCAACAGCTATTACACAGCTGATATCACCATGCTTTGCCAGAATCCGCTGCATTTCTGCTAAGACGTTCTTAGCAATAGGTAAAACGAAATTTTCCAATAAGAACGAGGAAGATAAGAACAGCTTTCCCCGTTTTTTAACCTGAACATCGGGAAAAATGTCAAGACTTTTGAAGTGTTCTTCGAGATTGCAATCCCATGCCTTTTCTGCAAGTTTTTTAAGAGACGGTGGAATTTGTAAACATAACGGTTTGTTTTCGTTTGGGTCAATAGGGCGTTTCTTTTGTTCAAAGTCTCTAAGTAATTGCATATAATCAGATCTGTTGTTTGCTTTGAAAGTCTTCATATTCTCTTCTCCAAATATTTCACTCATCCAATTGCCAAATCGTTCATTTATGGCGGTTCCTCCGAAGGGTCCCCCGCTAGCTTGTTCCACAATGTGAATCTCTTTGTCACTCTTTATTTCCATCACGCTGATATCAGTTGTACCCCCTGAAAGATGACAGAATATTTCTACAGGTGTTTGATTTAACAGCGTAGGAAAAACTAGGAATTTTCCCTTAAGTAAAAAAGAGTTGTGATCTTTTCAAGAAAACTTTATTATTTCGCATAGGCAGGCAATGAATTTAGAGGCAATAGAAAGAAAAAGTTAGTATTTCTCATACCTCCCATATCAAACACCAATATTTTTCGTTCCGTAAGGGTAGTCTTCCTGTCCGTTTCCGGACTATCTGTTGCATCATTTATGATCTGCAGTTTCTGTAATCGACAATAAAGAGCTGCTGCTTCCGGTTCATACACAAATATCATATCATCAGCCTTTATCCCCGCCTTCAAATTAACAAAATTAATTCAATATCAACTTGTTACACGATCTCTGTTACCCTCAGTCTGTGTAAATGTGTGTGTACGAGAGATCTAGAGAGAGAGAGAGAGAGAGAGAGAGAGAGAGAGAGAGAGAGAGGCTTTTAAACAACCAACATCGTCTATATGAGGTATGAATTGAAAAGAAAGAATGATTGCCATTTAAAATTCACAATATGTTCATAAGACTGTATTCGTCAGCCATATATAGCTTTCAAACTTTTACTACCTGTTCTGCAGCTTCCCTTGTGAACTGCTTAGCGGCGTCTGACCATATGGCAGGCACTGTCAGCACCCATAAAATATCCTGATCCCGAACTAGTATCCCCCTCATATTTAGTCGTCGGTAGAGATCGTCCTTTAGACAGCGAATGAGCATACTGAGAATTGTCAATCCTTGCACTGGCTTTCCACATTCATCCTCAATTTTGTCTGATCGGGACACTTTCTATTTAAGAAAAATTCCCCTATATTGCGTCATGTACAGAGATCACACTTCAATATCGTAAACTGGCGCGAATAATTAAAAAAATGGACACAAGCGATGAGTTTTGAATATAACACGCATATTTCTGAAAATTTGTTTTCCTGCCTGCATTTTTGTGAATATCAGATGTTTTTTTAAAGAGGAGGTACAAAACACGGCTAGACCCCTGGAAATTCCGGGGGTGGAATCAGGTACCTAGAAAAAGTAAGCATCCCATGGTGACCAGTCACATCCGCCACATTCGGTATGAAACAATTAAGTCTGCTAAAATGCGATTCATTATAATAATGACCATAGAAATTACGAAATTCCGACTTTAAACAACTTATCAGTGAGTAGCATGCTTCGCTTCAAAAATTGATAGGACTCAGAGCGAGCTTGTGAAAAGTGAATATATTGGTAATTTTACATCTAAAAACAGTTTTCAATTTTTAAATTAAAACTAGTTATAATAATTGTCAATCTTACCTCTTTATACAGTAGCCTCATTTTGATTTTTGTAAAGAAGTACCAGTCCTGGTGTTCATCATTCTCTACCAGACTTGCGTACTCTTCTTCTGCTTTATAACCAAAGGAATGGAAGGTCTTGTCTGGATTCAGGAGGACTGATGACGGGGCCTTTGGTGACATTGTCTGGGCACCCTCTCCGGTCCAGTGGTTGATTTCGATTTTTAATGGATCCACTCGATAATCACTCCGAAAAGAAAAAGCATAGCCACTGTATGCAGTTCCAAAATCTAAAGCGACGACTAGAAGTTTACCATCAAGCGAACTTGATCCCCCTGCCATGTTTCAACGGCAATTTGTCAACAGTTTGATGTTTTTTTTCCCAATAGTTTGATGTTTTTCCAAAACAAAATTCCAAATTCAAAAATTAGAATATTCATAAATGTAAACTACATGACAGATCTGCATAGCCATCTGGATTATTTTGGCGTAATTTCAAAGTACGGACCTTGTTTTTAAAATTCCTTGCATTATTTTTTTGTGTAAGATACATCAAAAGATCAATATCGATCCCTCCAGTAGTGTTTATGTACAGACAGGATATAAACTTGTTTACCTTGATTTCTACATTTAAATTTTCTTCTTAAAATTCAGTGGAAGAGATTGGTATAGTTGTTTCTTTTCATTTTAAAATATTTGTATTTAAAATTATTCGAACTTGTGAGCATTTTTCCGGTTATATGAAATTTTTTTATTAAATGGTATATTTTAAATTCAATTTTGGACTTTGGAATAATGTTTGTCTATGTTCTTTTTTAGCCAGTCTGCAAAATATATAGTATTGTTTTTGTCCAGAGTAATGGCTGGAAAAGGAAATCCGAAGAAAGGTGAGTTACTTAGATTAATTTAAAAAAAAAAGACTTTTATTTTTGAAAACTATACCAATACAATCTCTAAATTTTATAATTCCCAAACAAATTTACATATGTATGATTTCACTTTATGGATATTTTTCACAATTTGCACTTGGAAATAAGAATATAAAGTTTTACCTGAAAGTTTTGGGGTCCGTGTTTGCTCTTCTCCTATTTTTTTGTTTTGTTTTATGGACTAACAATATTGTACAGTGTTTTAAATAATTCTATTCTGTTTTTACGTTCTTGTATTTCGTTTTAGACATAATGCATATGCTGTAAATCATGTATTTACCTGATCCCACCTCTGATGTTTTGGAGGTCCGTGTTTGCTCTGCTCCTATTTTGTATTGATTTATGGAATTTCAATCTTGAATACTGTTCGTTATCTCAATCTGTTTCATTATAAAATGATTCACAAAGATTCTGTTCATTTTTGAAAATTAATCTACGCTTTAGGATAGTAAGTTCATACAAACTATGATTATTTAAAAACAAGAAATACTTGTACCACAAAAGTTCCGTGTTCCACATAGATATTTTAAACAGATATCTAAAAAGATGATTTAATCACGCCATTTAATTTCGTAATGTTTAATGGGCTTATGAGCTTGAATACTATCCGTGATATCCACATAACTGATTTAACTATGTTTCTAGATTTTGTAGAGAACAATTATTTAAGAAGCATATGGTAGATACGAAGTAAGAAGAAAACGATTTAAACGCGCGATTCTACGCACATTAGTTGATTGATATCTACGTTATACTTGTTACACAATTATCGAGCGATTAGAACCATTTTTGCACCTATCCGAGAGACAAGGGCTAGTTTTCACACAATGATATTTAGCTATACTTATTTTAAAAGACCATTGGATTGCGCAGCATAGCTGTTTGGCGTGGTAGTACTAAACCGTCATTAACGCCATTAACGTAAATTATTTTCCGCACTACGGACTTTGGCATGTCAAACCATCGGGGCTTGGTGCAGACCATTAGACTTTGGCGTGGCGTGGAGTCATGTCATAACGCGAAACTTTCGCGTTATATCGCGAAAAAACGCGTAAGTTTTGCGTTGTAACGCGAAACTTTCGCGATATAACGTGAAACTTTCGCGAATAAACACGTAACTTTCGCGTTATAACGCGAAAGTTTTGCAGTTTAACCAAGGCATTTGCATAACTCTTAACTTTCTTTTGATTTTGTGATCAAGTTTATTTATTACAATGATAAGCAAAAGGCTATTTTGATCTTGGACTATCACAAGCTACAATTTTAAGTTTTCTTACCATTGAATCCATCTTTACCGTAACAATTTGTCTTTCTCAACGCTGTTCAAACAATTCAAAGTCTTTGCAAGTTTTCCAAAAGTTAAACTTCAAGGTTATTAATTTCGGGGAAAATCACCCCTTTTCGGCGATTTTTATGCAATCTCTAGAGAATTTGAAATAATTTTATTTTATAAAGATTAAGATCTCAGAAGATTGTCAAAATGAGGTAAATTTGTCAATTGTGTCATTTGTGAAAATTGGATAGCTGATTTTCATTTGTCTCCATTGGATTCACTGTGGAAATACGATATCGTATTTTGAGGATGATCCACACTGTCATTCCAATACTTACGAAAACATTGACAATTAATTCAAAATGTAAAAACTCTGCTGAATACCTTAATAGTTTTTTTTTATTCATGACTATTCCACGAACTTCTCTACAACCCCTCGGATACTAGTATATAAATATTGGAGAAAATTTAGAGACCCCTCCTCCTCGAAAAATTTGTAATTAACAATATCCAATTATATTTGTTATCTAAACAACATCATATGGCCCGTTAAGCTTATGAAATGATACATTGTTCATTCAAATTTAAGTTATGTTTCTACAGTCTATTGTCCAAAATGATTGATTGCTTAGTTTACTAGTGGTACAGTTGTAGTAAATGTTACTGATTAAAACAGCTTGAAAAAAGTGTCAAGTGGAGATTTTCCTTTAAATAATCAGTTTACAGAACTTAACAATTAAAAAAAAAAACATGTACAAGAAAGTAAAAATTCATTTTATTAATTCAATGGTAAGGTTTAAAAAAAAATATTCTGATGACTAATTTATCTATTCTCGCATCATTTCTCCTGAACATCTTCTGAGGAAATGATATTCTATAAATAAGTTCCTGGGAGTTCCCGTCTGTGTTCATGTTCTTATCTGTCAATCAAGATCAAGGTTCCTGAGTAACATTACCATATGCATATTATTTCGCGAAATAACGCAAAAGTTTCGCGTTATTACGCGAAAGTTACGCGTTTATTCGAAAAATTTAATTTTTTTTACCTATGAAAATGAGCATATTGGGCATTTGTAATTAAGAAATAAGCTACAATGTTAAAAAGTTCTCTGGGAAATGAACTTAGTTGGTCACGTGACCTTTTAAACATTGTTTTATTAGAGTCCTCTTCAAGTAAAATATCCAGATATGAAACAGATGTACCAGACTCTGTGGTATCTTTTATCTCACCAGTATATATCGTATCGACAATAGAATTGATATATTCCCGTTGTTAATTGACAAGACGTCGTCTATACATTATCTAAATGTCGAGTTGAAGGCCACAGCAAGTGTTTTCTTCTTTTCACCCACAAGATTTTGCTCAATATCTGCTTCATATGGATACAAAAATAGGTCTAATAATAACGGGGCGCAATTAGTACCCACGGGAATTCCAATAGATTCCAAAGATTCACTTTATTTTGAAACGGGATGGGAACCGCTTAGTTGTAGAAGACAAGAAGCTAGATTAAAAACAATGTTCAAACTTCATAATAATTTAGTGCCAGAATACTTAATGGACATCCTTCCAAATATGCGCTGTAACACATCTATCTACTCGACAAGAAATTCTCAAAATTATGATATTCCAAAGTGTCGATTACAAACTTATAAGTCTACGTTTATTCCCACTGTAGTTAACGAATGGAACTCCATTCCACTTGAAACTCGAAATTTACAGTCAATGTCGAAATTCAAATCTAAAATTAGTAATAAAAAAACTAAATCTGCCCCACCTTCTTACTTTGATTACGGTAACAGAAGACTTAATGTTCTTCAAACCAGAACGACATAATTGTGTATTAAATAACGACCTTTATAGATGCAATTTAATATCAAGTCCCTTGTGCACGTGCGGTAAAGTTGAGGACACATATCATTATTTTTTCGTATGTCCAAAGTATGCGAACGCCAGGAATGAATTTTTACATAATTTTTTACAATTTGATACAATCCACATAGTAGATACACATGTTTTATTATGGGGGGTTGAATCACTGAGTACTGCAGAGAATGAACATTTCTTTTCTTTAGTTCAAACATTTATTAAGCATTCTGGTAGATTTCCTTGTTAATTACTGTACCAATATTGATATATGAATTTATTCAACTTTTATATATTCATACATATATGCAAAATGCATCATTTTTACTTTGCAAATTCTATACTTTATATAGCATGTTTAACTGTGACAATATAAATGTGTAATTTACATGTATAGGGAGGGGGCGTTATAAGTATTCAGTACTTGTGCTCAATCCCTTTGTAATTATATTACAATAAAATATGTTCAAATCAATAGATTGCTGGATGACCTGGTCTCGAAAAATCACATAGATATTGTCAATCAGAAACTCATGCATCTTTTTATGTCAAATTCAGAGTACTTGTGTGTGCAATCAGAATGTTTTTTTAATAAAATAATTTTTCAAATAACCAATGACAATGTAAGTAAATTTACGAGGTCCATTTTTATTGAAAAAGCTGCTGTCAATGATATCAAAAAGCCTACCTTTTATTTATGGTGGGGAAATGGTTATGTATGCAGTTGAAAAGATGTGAGCTTTTAAGCTGTTGTTTTGGGTAAAATCTTGTGATTTCAAATTCTCCAAAAGTTCTTTAGAAATGATTTTTAGACAAAATTCATTTGTCAAAATTCATGAATATTTGAATTAAATTTTAACAAAGTTAAAACAAAATTCAACATCATTTCAAATACAGTAGTTGAAATAAAAATTGAATTGCGTGTTAAATATTAAAGGCTTTTGTGCAAATCACTTGTGCATGTAATTTTATTGTTTAATTTTTATGATTGATTAATGCCAGCACCTATTGCGACACGGGATCTCAGTTTATACGGTCTCATCTGAAGGACCGGTCTCCACGTCCAAAAGTGGGATTCGAACCCGCGACGTAAGGATTGACTCCTGCCGCTCTAACCACTGTTAATTGTTATGAAGTCAATTTATAACGTACGCTTTCTGATATGCTTATACAACATTGTAATTGTTATCTAACTAAATCATTTTCAAATGTTAATCCTCATGATAACATTCTAGAGAACTTAATTACAATGACCAAAAGATGTACATGTTCTATAAACTTATGATGTATGAAGGATATGGAGATAACGAACAGTACTCAATATCAAAGTCCATAAAACAATACAAAACAGGATCAGAGCAAACACAGACCTCCAAAACATCAGAACTGGGATAAGGGGCAATGAGCAATATGTTGTGTTGTATATTCAAAATCTTGTGATGTACATCACAAGACTTTGAACATGCAACATACGAGAGATTATCGAATATACATCACAAGATTTTGAATAAACATCACAAGATTTTCGAATATACATCACAAGATATTGCACATACATCACAAGATATTGCACATACATCACAAGATATTGCACATACATCATAAGATTTAGCATAAACATCACAAGATTTTGAATATACATCACATGATTATCGAATAAAGCAACGTTTTACACGCCATACATGTGCACAAATTTAATTCTAATTCTATTTTATTTTACGTATGATGAAAGGTGGGGAACAAAAACGAGAAAAGCTACTTGTAGCAGCAATTGACTTTGGCTCGACGTATTCAGGGTATGCATTCTCGTTTAGAGACGATTTTCAAACAAATCCTTTGAAAATTTATACGAACAATTGGTCGTCTGAACAGTCTGGCGGAATCTCATATAAGGCGCCTACCACAGTTCTACTTAAACCGGACCAAACTTTCCACAGCTTTGGATACGAAGCAGAAGACAAATACGCAGAATTGACTGAGGCAGAGGATCACGAGGGGTGGTATTATTTCAGTCGCTTCAAGATGAAACTCATGAATGCTCTGGTAAAAAAGTTGACACTTTAACATTACGACATTGCGAAGGTCATGCCTTTTTTGTTACTCATTTTTTTTGGATATACAATTTTGAATTCACTAAACTATAGTTCATTAAATATGCAAACTCATTTCTTTTAGAATCATTATGCTTATTTCCATTAGAAAATAATCAACCTGTTCAACGTGGTTGTTGTCATTTTAGGATATTTCTAAAGATCAGACGGGAAGTGATCATCTATTTACAGAATTAAGGAGGGATATGGAAATAGAAGATATAGATGGTAAAAAGATGCCATACATGACAATAATAGCTCACGCCATTCGTTATTTGAAGGAACATCTACTCAAACAACTTAACGAGAAGAACTTGCTGGGGGCACTAACAGCAGACGGCATTTTCTGGGTTATCACAGTTCCCGCCATTTGGACAGATTCTGCTAAACAGTTCACAAGAGAAGCTGCTATAGAGGTTAACAAAAAACGAGTTTTTTAAATATTTTTTATATAAGATCGATTATCAAAAGAAGGAAACTATTTAGTATAATAGATAAATGTTTTCAGAAAAAATTAAAAGAGCTCGGTTCACTTTATGCATAAAATGGTCCTGTAGATATACCGATTGATTTATTAACACTTAATGTTCCATTTGAAAAAATAAAATAAAATAGAGACTTGGTGCGTTCATTTCCTATTAAAAATTTTCTCCTAAAAGTCCAGGTCTTAGAGAACTGGCTTTATGAAATTGCAATGTTCTTGAATTTTAAGGTAAATAGGTATATTTGAGTACTTTCGATGAAGAAAAATAATATGAGCGCACTCACTGATCTAAAATATATATAATAAAACATGTCTTTTAATCCTCAGAAACAGTTCTATTATTTACTAGTTGCATATTTTAGATCAGAGGTTGTGCTCTATATTTAATATAGAAAATAACTTTAAAAATTAACCGCTTTTGTAGACATCTTCAAAATATGAGGAAAGTGACGCATTTCGTGACGTCAATGCATTGACTATCCAAAAAATTACGTCATTTTTGGTAAATACGCAATCAGTCACCAAAGATCTAAGTGATATTTTATGTATTTTTAACTAAAACTAAGCAGTTTCAGTTTTTCAGAAATTCAAAGGCAAAAGTGAATCTTGTTCTTTGTTTAGGTTACAAAATAATTTTTAAAAATCCATAGAACTAAGTGTAATGAAAAAATTCAAAACAAAACACAAAAGTAAGAAAAGAAAACCACCAGCAAATGTCGTTTAATATTGTTAGAGAATGGTCAAGCATAAATTTTAACAGAGTCCAACACAGATTTGAAATACTCTTTCATATGAATATTGCACAGGCTGGTATCTATGACGACCAGTTAATGTTGGCCTATGAACCGGAAGCTGCCGCCTTGTACTGTCGTCTGCTTCCTATTGATAAGTTCGAGAGTGGAGGAGAACACCAAGAACTGGTCCTAAGAACTTTTGAACGAGGGAAAAAATTCATGGTCATCGATCTTGGTGGTATGTTGCAATTCGTTTCAACCTATGATACATAGTTTTATATAATGCTATTCATGTTCTATAAATGCACGCAGATTGTGTATATTTCTTCTGATCAAGTAACAGATGATGCTTTTTGGCTGAAAAAAGTTCTTTTTTCAATAATGTAGCAGGAATTTTAGTATTATAAGTTATCAATTCCTTCAGAAACCGAAAAGTTTTTTTTTTAAATATCGGATGACCTCTGTGATTCAATATCGATACAAGATATGGAGATAACGAACAGTACTCAATATCAAAGTCCATGAAACAATACAAAATAGAAGCAGAGCAAACATGGATTTCCAAAAATTCAAAGGTGCGATCAGGTGCCATGGAGGAGTGAGCATTCCCTGCCGACCGGTCACACCCGCCGTGTGCTCCTTGTCATGATCGGGAAATAACGGAAAAATCCGTCGCCAATTTAGTGTATAAATAATGGACTGATAATTAGTATAAAAAACGTCACCCAGCATTTGACTTATTGATAAATTGTATTTACTGACAAGGTCATTGTGTCGACTATAGAACTCAAAAAATCATGAATTTAAACGAGACTGCTGATATTCATTAACTTGTTTGTCAATAATTTACCTCGTTTTAGACATTGTCTTGCGTATCGAATAAACTGAGATACATAAACTCCGTATGCAATTGATAAAGGTATATTGCTGCATAAAGAACGGGAAGTTGACGATAGAAAAGTTAAAGTCATCAGGTTTATCATATAGCTTGGTTGTTAGATAAACATTAACGTCTTTTTCTAGAAAATTATCCAAGTATGAAACAGATGTGTCAGACTCTGTGGTTTATCTCAAGCACACCAGGATATATTGTATTGACATAGGAATTGAAATCGCCATTGTAAATTGACAATATTTCGTCGATATATCTAAATGTCGAGTTGAAGGCAACAGCAAATATTTTCTTCTTTTCGTGCATAAGATTTTGCACAAATTCTGCTTCATATGAAAAATAGGTATGCTAGTAACGGAGCGCAATTGGTACCCATGGGATTTCCATGAGATTGTCGGAAGACCTGGTCTCCAAACACCACATAGATATTGTCAATCAGAAACTCAAGCATTTTTTTTTATGTCAGCGAACTGCAGAGTACTTGTGTGTGCAATCAGAATGTGTTTTAACAAAATAATTTTGCAAATGGCCAATGTCAAGGTAAGTAAATTTACGAGGTCCATTTTTATTGAAAAAGCAGCTGTCAATCCTTTTTAAGAAAATCTGCACTTTAATATTTGGTGGGGAATGTTTGTGTATAAAGTTGAAAATTTAATAGATCAGGCTTTTGCGCAAATCACTGGTATACACGTACTTACGTTTAATTGTTATGAAGTCAATTTAAAACGTAGCTTTCTGATATGCTTATAAAACATTGTAATTGTTATAAAACTAAATCATTTTCAAATGTTAATCCACATGATAAAATTTTGAAGAACATAATTTTTCTATTATCTATATACAAAGAACAAAATTACACGAGAACTTCCGTATTCCAAATTATGATAAATTACATTCACGTGCAGCCGACCCTCCAAATGTTTATTACATTTCTTTTTTCGGCATACTCTAAAACCTGGCCTGGCCCCTTTGGCCTGGCCTGGCATCTAAGTTGGCCTGGCCTCTATTTTGGCCTCTAATTTGGCTTCAAACCAAATTTTGGCCTGGCCTCAAAAGTTGGCCTGGCCTCAGATTTGGCCTCTGTAAAAATTTTTGGCCTCAATTTTGGCCTCACTCAAAAAAATTTTCTTTTTCTGAATTTGATTGATTTTATTGATTTTTTGTTGGTTTCATTTTTTTCACAGATTAAGCAGGTGATTAATATATTTCTGTTGATATGTAAATGTGAACATTAAAATAATTATACACTACTACCAATCTGATTTATTTTTATTGATTTTCTATTGATCTGTTGCAATTCTGAAGACTATAACACAGAGCATATAATTTTACTTTCAAAAAGACACTCTCTTAATGATTTATTAAATGTGCCTTTATTTTTTTAAATTTCCATGGTAGGAATGATAATTTTTACAGAGTAAAAAACATTTACAAAATCAGGGAGAGGGCTAAAATAGGCTGCGCCTGCTGCTCAATCCTATTCATGATAACACCAGTGAATAAAATATTGTTTAAATAAAAAAATATTTAGAAACATCACAATTAAATTATGAAGACAACAAAGAAATGCAGATGAGTAGTAATTAACTAAGAACTAAAAAGAATCTTAAATTTGCCGTTTTAAGTATTACTTGTTTAATACAAGTTTTTTTTAACTGTCTTTATTTAGAATTAAAAAAATCTGTTTGATGATGTTGACTACTTTTACAAATGATAGAAAAAGAGTCAATACTATGATATGCAAGTAATTGACCACATTTTATATGATAAGGTTCTAATGGTGAATAGGATGCAATTGTTTTACAGCACAAATGTTAATAATCTATCATCAAACTCAACTTTTGTTTTGATAATTGTAGGTAGTGAAAGTTGTAGCAGGAAATTCTTTATAAATCATGGGTGGCTTAACAGCCTATGCACATATACATGTCATTACTGATTAACTTCAACCTTTAAACTCCCTGTCAAGAACCGTGCTGCAGAATTTTTTGTCATTTGATATCCAATTACAGTGTTACGGCACACCAGGAACAGAAAGTTATAAATTATCTGATAATGTTAATTTTTTTTAAATACCAATTGTTCTTAGATTAAAGTGAACACGAATTTTTAACAGAGTAATCAAATAAGTGTAATATAAATATTTTGGTATCTGTCTTGGTATATTTATTTGAAAAAAAAAATCTTAGGTGCCTGTATTCATATATCACACAGATGATGCAGGCATAACAGTAACACAACACTCCACAGTGTGTGAAAGATGATGATTCATCTACTTAACAAGTGGGAATTTTTCAAAGCTATTAATGACATTTGACATGAATTATTACTAGAGATTTTTTTCAATGTTCACAATTTGGAAAACACAAAATAAACTCTGATTAATCTAATTGATTTTTCTAAATAATTATAAGCAAGAGTATCGGTAGCGTGTCTGTATGAAATACCTGTAAATAATAAAATGAAATAACTGTACACTGATCAATTGATAATCAATAAAATAATCCTTATTGGTGGTAGTACATGATTATTTTTAATGTTCACATTTACATATCAACAAAAATATATTAATCACCTGCTTAATCTGTGAAAAAAATGAAACCAATAAAAAATCAATAAAATCAATCAAATACTGAAAATGAAAATATTTTTGAGTGAGGCCAAAATTGAGGCCAAAAATTTTTACAGAGGCCAAATCTGAGGCCAGGCCAACTTTTGAGGCCAGGCCAAAATTTGGTTTGAAGCCAAATTAGAGGCCAAAATAGAGGCCAGGCCAACTTAGAGGCCAGGCCAGGCCAAAGGGGCCAGGCCAGGTTTTAGAGTATGCCTCTATTTTCCACCAAAGATCGAGATATCAAAAATTCTTAATTACTTGCAATACAAGTGGGGTTTTTTTTTTATCCCTCTTCTGATGGTGCATGTCAACAAATGTGAACAATCAAGAAAGATGGCAAGGCTTGTTTATAAAGTTTCTTAACATTTAATTATTGAACCTTACAGTTAAACAATTACTGTTTGTCCTTTGTATATGTTTAACGTCCCTCTCGGTGAAGAGCTGCCGGTGGAGAGCTGCAAATTTTGTCCTATACTCGGCACTCAGGGCCATTGAGCAGGGATGACTGCTTGTCCTTTCGGTCAACATATAAACCGAGGTCCCGTGTTGCAGTAGGTGCTGGCACGAAAAAGATCCCACCCTGCTCAATGGCCCTGAGGGCCGAGTATAGGACAAAATTTACAGCTCTCCATCGGCAAGTGGTGGCGTCTCCAAATGATTGAAAAATTCTCGAGAGGGACGTTAAACAATATACAATCAATCCTTTCGGTCAATACAATGTTTTCCTTAGAACTACAATTTACATCTGACCGTTCACTTTTCGGGTAGCTTCATCAGCTTTCTGAATGCATTCTAGAGAAAGAGATGGAAATGTCGCTTTATTTTTGTGTAGGCGCACAATAAAGTTTACTTTGATCGTAATTTTTAGTCCTGTTTTGGTGACACATTCTGTATTTGAACAGAATCGAATACTTCCATGGACATATAAGTTTATATTTTTTTTTTCGAACAGACATTAAGTTCATATCAAATTGAATGTATTAAGTATATAGAATTTTTATCACCGTGCTACTTGTATATTGTGTTTACGTCATTCTCGCTGGAATTGTAAACAGGTGCATCTTAGAGTTTTGTTTCAGGAGGAACTGTGGATATAACGGCTCAGGAAACAACACAAAATGGCGAGATGAAGTCAATATCTGAGGTGTGTGGTGGTCCATGGGGAGGAACCAGAGTTGATGAAGAATTCCTCCAATTCCTGATTAAGCTTGTGGGAGCAGAGGTTCTTAATGAATTTAAAGAGGATTGCCGGTCCGATTATCTGGATCTAATGCGCACGTTAGAAGTAAAGAAAAGAAATGTTGATTCTCATTCAAATCACCCGGTTCAAATAAGAACGCCACCATCTTTATTTCAAATTCTTGAAGAAAAAACAGAATGCAATATTTTTGAAATTGTTAAACAGTCTCCATATGAGAGCTCAGTGACCTGTTCAACCGATAAAATGAAGATTGATATCAGTTTCTTCCGAGATTTTTTCAAAAAATCCCTCAATGACATAATAACTCACCTTCAAGACATTTTACAGAGGCCAAGCTGCGAAGGTCTGCTTGGTATGGTGGTAGTCGGTGGTTATGCTGAAAGTCCTCTGTTAATTGATAAACTAAAGAAATCGTTTCCAGGAAAACGTATCATTGTTCCCATGGAGGCTGGACTTTCTGTCGCTAAAGGAGCCGTTCTCTATGGCCACAATCCTGACGTTATTTGTTCACGAGTTTGTCGCTATACCTATGGGGATGAGATTTGTAAGCCCTTCATCGAAAAAGAACATCCGTTAAGTAATCTGACTGCTTTTAACAATGAAAAATATTGCAAATTTATTTTTCAAAAGTTCTTTGAAAAGGGTGAAAAAGTATCCCTCGGTGAGAAACGAACTTTCACAGAAAACTATGACTTCCGGGATAAAGGAAGAAAATATCAGCGAGATGAACCGCTAAGAATAAAAGTATACATCTCCAAAAGAGAAAACCCTGTCTTTACTTATGATGTTGGATGTCGAGTTTTAGGAGAAATAATCGTAGAATGCGCAAATAAAAAATGGCCTGCAGAGTTCACTTGTACAATAGAAATGGAGATCGCAGGAACAGAAATACAAGTGTCGGCAAAAATGAGTACTGGCGAGAAAGCAACCGCCAAGTTTGACTTTTTGTGATTTGTTAGAAAAATGTTTATATCCATAATTTAACATAAAGTTGTAACAGCAATTCACTTATCGCACATGTAGAAGCTATGTGAAATGCCTTCATTTGTTCATTATTTTTCATAACAGTAATTTCTTCCCTGGAATGAAATGTGATTGAAAGAAAGTGTTTGATGAAAATGTTTTCGAGAGCTCTATGATTCTGTGCACTGAACTATTGAGATTATATGGTATTATAATTATTTTCTTGTTGTTTTTGAAGTCCAGTATTTGTTCTGTTGTAAAACCCACCTAATGGTTTAATGAAGATACCTTTCAAATTAACAGCAACAACACTAAAAAAGATACCTTTACAATGAAATTTAAGGAGATAACGAACGGTATTCGAGCTCAAATGTCCATTCAACATTACAAAATAGAGCGGAGAAAGCACAGACTTCTAAAACATCAGAAATGGGATCAGTGATCATGAAGAAATAAGCATTTCCTGTCGACTGGTAACACATGATTTTTCTTTCGAAAATCAGCAATATTTGCATTTAGCATCATTGATATGGCGATTTGGTATTTACGAGTGAACTTGAAATAAAAGACACAACAAAGTCTAAACATCTGATTCATATTTAGATATTTACTGACTATCGACGATATGCGCCAACTAACAACAAAAATTGACAAACGAGATATTACCCATGTTGCGCAGTGGTATACAGTGACTGTGCTTGAGTCGCGAAGTAAGGTGTTAATTCATAAGTTGTGGATTCGAATCCACTGCGGAGCTGTAGAGACCAGTTTTTCTGATGAGACTGTATAAAGTGAGGTCTGATGATGCAGTAGGTGATGGTACGAAAAGATCCCTAACTGTTCAATGGTCCTACAGCCCTCATAGGCAAGCGATGGCGTTTCCATGGGCGTGAAAAATTCTTGAGAGGGCGTTAAACAACATATAAACAATAAAACAAACACAAACGAGATGACTTTAACTTTCTTTATTCCTCTAGTAATATTCCTCCATCACCCGCAATTCTTCCAACGTTATCTATTCTAAAAGGCAGCTCCGAGTACGATCAACTCCAAAAACAAGAAATTCTATAGCCGTTATGATGATCTTGTTAGCAAATATAACCTTTCATTTGAACTTCTTTAGACTGACTAGTCTAGCAAGTGTAAGAATTTTGTTTTTGAGCTGAATTTGATCACCGCCTACCTGATCAATACATAGGATCAGAGGCATGTCTGACCGGTAAACAGGGGATGTTTACTTCACCTGCATGTTGCACCTGATCCTACCTAATCAAGGTTCCAAGGGGTCCGTTCATTTGTATGCTCTGTTCACATGATTGCATTGATAATAGATTGTTAAAATCGATCATTGTTCGTTATATATGCCTTTGTACATAGTATTAAAAAATACGAAGAACTTAGAATCAAAGTTTGATAGAAATTGTATCCAGCAGTGTTAATACTGGTGATAAAACAATACCCTATCACACACCTTAGGATAAGACCGAATAAACCGAGGTCCCACAAATAAAATCGATCCCAATTTCAAAGTAACAAAAAACATGAAGGTTATTGAAAAAAATAACATCAGTAATGTTTAGACGAATACTTTAAGTTTAATACTGAAAATTATTCTTTAATATCTGATGTAAAGTAAGTTACAAAAATATTTATTTGAATATAAAAATTGTTGTCTGAAAGATTTGAGAATCTTGTTAATTCCTAGAAAATGACAGGGGTGTGTTGAAGTGAAGGAACAATTCTAGCTAGAGTTAGTGAAGCAAATGTAGAAAAAAATAATAATGATTTTCTATTTTAATTTACAACATTACTTGTATTATGGCATTTAGCAAATATGTGCTATGATGTGAATTTATTAAGGTTAGATTAAAACAGATTAATAGCAAAAAAATTACCGGTATTAATAATCATTAATAATTATTTTTCAAATGTGAACTTTGTACTTATGCAGTAAATCGTAAAACCGTAGTTTCTTTGCTTTTCACAGGTGGGACGGTAGATATTGCGGTCCAAGAAACAACAGAGGATGGAAAAATGAAAACCATTTACAAGGTTTGTGGTGGAGACTGGGGAGGGACTAATGTAGACGAACGCTTCCTCCATTTTATCAGTGACTTACTAGGACCCGAAGTTATAGAAACCCTGAAAAACGAATGCAGGTCGGAGTATTTAGAGTTCTTACGGACATTTGAGTTTAAAAAAAGAACAATGGATGTTGATTCTTCCTCGAGAGTTCTCCTTAAGGTTCCTGTGGGTTTTATGGATGTTCTTTTGGAAAATTATGGCACTACATTACAAGACAAAATTAAAACTTCGCAACATAAAGGTGCTGTATCTTTAGTCGGAGACAAGCTTATCATTGAGTATTCCTTATTTAAGTCATTTTTTCAGAACTCAGTCGATGATATAATTTCTCACATTAGAGGTATTTTTGATGCCAAATGCTACAGAAATTTAACAGGCGTAGTAATGGTCGGAGGATTTGCTGATAGTACCATTGTCAACTTTGCTATCAAAAAAGCTTTCCCTGAAATGAAGTTTATTATTCCTCTTGATGCAGGATTGGCCGTTGTCAAAGGTGCAGTTCTCTATGGCCACGACCCAGATGTGATTTGTTCTCGAATATGTCGATATACGTATGGGGAAGATATTTGCATACCTTTCGACGAATTCAAACATTCAGAAAAAAAATCAACTCGTATTGAAGAAAAAAAGTATTGTGCTGATATTTTCCGAAAATTCTTTACCGTAGGACAAGTAGTCTCACTTGGTGAAGCGAAGGAAATGAGTAGCAAACAGTCATTTGTTGATGAACATAGGAAGCACGGTCGCTTCGAACCCATTTCTATATCTGTGTATGTATCCGATAAAGAGTCCCCTATGTATATAGATGATGAGGGTTGTCTTCTGCTTGGTAAAATTGAGGTTAAATGCAATGGTGATATATGGCCTGAGAGGGTTTACATCGAAACGAAAATGGAAATTGCAGGAACTGAAATAAAGGTTACCTCCAAAATGCACACCGGGGAAGAAGTCACCGCAACATTTGATTTCCTTTAAACTGTTTGAAATGAATTTACCTAGACAGAAAGATATCTACAGTCTCGTTCTATTTTGTAAATCGCGTTGATTTGAAAAAAAAACAACATATTGTGTATTTTCCTTATAACTATCCTAACTCAAAACAACAAAAAAAGTATGATAAGGCCTCAAGGCCATTACTGTACACGTATTTGAATATTATACAATTTTGCAATTTTTAAAGTTGCATTACTCAAATATTTGACTTCAGTCTCTTTAGAGTCTGTATAGTCCCAAGGCTAAGTGTTTGTACATCGACAGAAAAAAGCTTGTATTGACTTCTTAAACAACTTTTTGAAAATCCAGATATTTTGAAATTATACTTTTGAAAAATAAAATTATAAAATGGAGGTCGTTTAAATACCGGTCCCTAGCACAGGCACTTGTTTCTGTTATAATTTCTTTTTTACCCATAGTATCATTATCACACAAGGTATCCCACTCCGAAATTCATGGAGTACTCCCCTCAGAATCTCACTCATTTACACTTTCAGAGGAAATGTACTCGCTATTTGTTAATACCGAGGTCTTCTTCGATAATTTATCTACAAGACCATAAATGACATGCTTGTCTTTTTTTTTCTTTTATCTCCGTATAAAACAGCGTCAAAGTATTGAGTTCCAACTCACTAGCCGTAGGAATTCAGTTCTCTGTTGATCTTACTGGTTTCTGACTTGATGAAATATTCAATGTACATTTGCTTATATATCTTTTATACAATTTGATGTAAGATACCTAAAAAGAACATATTTTTCTTATATGCTATAAATTTCGTCACAATTGTACAACTTTTGATATTATTATAATGATATTTTCGTTTGAATCTAGCAGGGGCTATATTTCAAATACAAAGTAATTGAAGACGGAAAATGTTGTTGCGTATGAAAAAACCATCTCTCTCTCTCTCTTCTCAAAATTATTTTAGAATAATGAATTTAGCTATATTTATTTTTTCACCATCAAAGACTTGAAGATTTTTTCGAATGTCAGTTTAATTAATAATGATGGACTAAAATTTTAAAATATATCAAATGCATATGGTTTTCAAAACAAACTACAATTACGTTAGCTTTTTAAAATAAAACTGTTGAGAGTTTTATTATTCTAAAATGTTGGCCATTCTCATTGAATACTTTTTAGCACAGATTTATAAAAAAAATTAAGTTTTATAAAACTTCATAACATAATCATCATCAAGAGCCAAAAATCCGTAGAAAGTCTTTAAATTCTCTCATGTATTAATTTCTTTCCCGTAAAATGTCTCCAAAATTATACATTTATCGATAAATGTTTAAGAAAAAATTGTTCATTGTAAGTTAGGATGTAAACGATCAAAACTTTTTGTTTTTGAATAATTTTGTATCTCTATATGACTTCTTCACTATATGTAAAAATAAGAAAAATTAAGAAATATAATTAATATATCCTAAAATATAAGAGAAATGGAGTCAAATAACATCATCTTATATTTCCTATATGTTATTTATGTTTTCATGCAAAAAGAAAAATACATGTATTTAATCTTTTGAAATAGAAGAAGGTATTGTATAATGTGATGCAGTCATTTTTTATTCTTAATGTCTAGGGAAAAGGTAATGATTTTGACCTGACCTTGCCTCTATATAAAACGGTCAAAACTAATGTAACTGATACCATCACCTAGTGATGTTGTCTTCTTAATTCTGTGAAAACTACATTGATTTTTAAATACAATAAATACATTTTCGTATGAGGAGAATCCTACCTGAAAGACATTGTTGATATTATAATTTACAACTACCTAAAATAAAAGATTTGATTAAACAATGGAAGCGACGAATCCTTAGTTTAATAGCATAACTGTTGTTTACACTCTTATTATGCCTTCATTTAATCATTTATTAATTATTTGGCATTGGTTGATTTGCAAAATGATATTTTTGAATTTATATGTTAGTCCAAATCTGATAAGATTAAGCGATCCCTTGTCACGTAAGATTACATGTATCTTTCTGGGGGTAAAATGGTCAATATTGATAATTCTATAACTGCTTTAAAATCTTCCTGGATGAAAAGGTTTACTCCAAAAACAAATATCTGTTTTGCAATGAATGAAAAAGACGTCGTTGAGAAGCTATTTCATTTTGGGAAATTATTTACTTTGGGACATCAACTTCCTAAAAACATTGTTTTCTGGCAAGACATGAAGTCAAAAAAGGCTTAGATAATTGTAAAAATGTTGAAAAGAAAAATAATGATAATTTGATAAATACCCCGATATTATAATTCTAACATCTTGAATGGTAATCGATATACATTTTTCAAAATTTGGGATCATTTCCTAGTCAACATGCAACAATTCCTTGATTTAAATATTCCTACCATACTATTAGGTGATTTCAATGTTAACATGTTGTCTGACCAAAGTAAACAATTTAAACTAATGCTACAAAGACTTAACTTAACAAATCTTATAAACAGTGCTACTAACTTTACAACCAAATCAGGAACATGTATTGATCTCATTTTGACCAATAATACCAGCTTAATTACAAATCATGATACAACAGCACCCTTCTGTAGCTCTCATTGTGTGACTAGTGTAGAAGTAAAATTCACTATATACAAAAAGTATGCTTGCAAAAGAGAAGTGAGAAATTATGAAAATGCAAATTATCATCAAATAAATGAGGAATTATTACAAGTTGACTGGGATAATACAGTATTCAATTCTGGAAATATTAATGAAATATATTCTAACTTTGTCTGTACTTTAAATAAATGTATTGATTAATATATTCCTAAGAAAACAATTACCATCAGACCAAGGAATAAAGTTTTTATGAATAATACAATACGCAAACTAATGAGAAAACGAAATAGAACTCACTATAAAGCAAAACATACGGACAATCCTCTGCATTGGCAGTCACACAGAGAACTTAGAAATACAGTTATTGATGAAATTCGAAAATCCCGAGAAAGGTAAAATAAAAAAATGTCTTCAATGATTGATAAATCAATTCCTCCTGGGAAATGGTGGAGAATTGTTAAATCAATATCAAAACTTAATAAAAATTATGAACCGTTACCACCATTAAAATCAAACGGCAAACTTATTTTCCATCCAGTTGAAAAAGCTACAGTACTAAATAAATACTTTGCCCAAGTTTCCTCCATTGATAATGAACCAGATATTCCTCTTCATGGACCTGGTCCACCACAACAAAATAATAACATTTTTCCCGAAATGCTTATCACCGAAGCTGAAATTTATGATCAGTTAACTATCATTGATAAAAGTAAACCACCTGGTCCTGATGGCACATCTCCAAGAGTACTAAAAGAAATATCCACTTCCATTAAAAGCCTCTGACAACTCTCTTTAACATGTCATTAAGGGAAAAAAAACTACCAGAGATCTGGAAGTTATCACAAATTACACCAGTCTTCAAAAATAAAGGGAGTGCTCAAGAAGTATCTAATTATAGACCAATATCTCTAACAAGTGTCTTGTGTAAATTGATGGAAAAAATACTATTTAAACATTTATATAACTTTATGAAGGACAATAATATATTATACAAATACCAGTCTGGCTTTCAACCTGGTGATTCAACTGTTAATCAACTGGTAGAAATGTATAATACTATCATTTCGAATTTTGACAAAGGAAAAGATGTAAGATTTATTTTTTGTGATATCTCAAAGGCATTTGATAGAGTATGGCATAAAGGCCTTTTAACAAAATTAACAAATTATGGTATAAATGGCAATGTACTAGGTTGGATTGAGAATTACTTGTCTGATAGACAACAAAAAGTTGTAATAGATGGTTTTACATCAAACTCTGAAACAGTAAATGCTGGAGTTCCTTAGGATTCTGTCCTAGGACCATTCCTATTTATTTTATATATTAATGCACAGGCACCTGACGTTACTTATTTTTCTTTTAATAAAAAATATACCCTTACCTTATAATAAGGTAAGGGTATATTTTGTTTTAATTAAAAGAAAAATAAGTATTGTCAGGTGCCTGTGGGTACTCCTGGGTTTTCTCATTCACTACTGTTAATATTTTAGTGAGAAGTAAAAAAAAAGCTTGGTAGAAAATCTAATTGCTGGACACCCCCACAGGTGAACTAGTAAGGATTTTTGTGAAGAACACCTTCAATTAATAATTACCTGGCAGATGTAGGACATTTCCAGGTACGATCTAACCCATGAAAAATCTTTATTGGTCATGGAAGCGTTTTAAAAATTAAATATAAATTCGATATGTAGGAAAAACCTTAGTAACGGCGATTTTACCGCCACATTCAATTCTCCTATTTTTCATCTAAGTGATCTAGGAGTCTAATTCCAGATTTTACCAATACCCTTAAATTAAGGTAAGTAAACATTGATGGAGAGTTTAAATGTTGATCTAATAACATTAATTAGTTATTGAGTAACATGATGTGTTTATTTGTCAGCTACTTAATATGTCACGAGAGAGAGAGAGAGCGAGAGAGTGTGTGTGTGTCAGAGAGAGAGAGCATACTTTTTAATCGCCAGGTGTCTGTGTTTTTAATATATAAGAATTAAAAGAAGAAATCGATTTAAAGCCTTAGCAATGAGAAATAGATGTCATGTTACAACTTTATGCTAGGTAGGATAATATCACCAGATATCTTTCCTATACCTACTAAACACAGGGACTAGCAACTGGGGCGTAAAAAAAAAAGACAGAGGGACGACAAATACATTACATGTATCTCATACATACATGTATGTTGGATAATATATCAATTAATATAAAACTAGAGTCGTATATACAAAAAAAAGTTGAATTTTAAGTCACTGTGCACTTATCATAGAAGGAATAAAAGATCGATTTATTTCAGATTTCTTTCCTAGAACTACCGTTTAGTGTATGTAGATACAAGTTGTAGTTTGTTACTGAAAGAATGACAAAAAGACAGAGGGACGACAAATATGAAAATGAAGTCAGGTAATGTATAGCCTAACACAGTGTTATTACATACATAACATATCTTCAGTCCTAATAGTAATACGAAACACGTATTTCAATAGCGTATTTGCACAATCATTGAAAGAATTTATTGCTCTTTTTGTCGATTTACCATGTATGGAGCCAGGATGGATCTTAATATTTGAATCATTCACCCTTCTAGATACTTTCTAAACCCGGAGTCGGTCAGTGTACATCTGTTTTGTTCAATTTGCCAAGACGTTTTCCAGGACCCCCAGCGAGCTCCGTGTGGTCATAGTTTTTGTAGAAAGGTAATGCAAGTATCTATTGAAGTTACATCAAGCTTACTTAATTTAATGCAGAGCTTGATTAATTTATTATCATGTTTATTGCCCTCAACTGTCGATGTCCATTAGGCACAAAATCATATGTATTAAAACATTTGATACTAGGAGTTTTCTCCCTTAAAAGATGAAGATTAACACAACTTTACTAATAATTTTTTTTACTGTTTTGGGTATTTTAATAATGAGCATTTTTACTGTTTTGGGGTATTTTAATAATGAGCATTTTTACTGTTTTTGGGTATTTTAAATCAAAATTACGTATTTTTAGTGTATATTACCATGGTTACGACAGAGTAAATCTTGTCCGGAAGACCGGTAAGTAACAGTGCCCTGTATAAATTAGGCAATGTTAACTTTCCACCATTACTTTGTGTTTAAAACTTTTAAGAAATAGCTAGTTTGAGTGCCACAAACCTTCTAAAAATGTGTTTAAGAAATAATATTACATTGTTGTTTTGAAATTAGTTTATATTACATTGTTGTTTTGAATAGCGCTTAAACATTCACTTTTCAATATGCAAATTCAATATTAAAAACTGTCGAGTATTAATAAAAAGAATATATACATTTTTGTATTTCCTTGAATTCATTTGAAAATTCAAATATCAGGGAAAAAAACGCCTTTATTTATCATAATTTTTTGTAATATATGTTGCTATTTGCTATTTTTGTCAACTGATGTGCTGTACTGCCCAAAGTTATCTTCTATATAAATTATTTCTTATTTACAGTAAACCTGTTAATGAGAAACAATTACATCATGACTTTATATTGGAAAACATCATTGGAGATCAAATGGTACGTTGACAGATACAGAAAATATGCAAATATGCATTTTATCTGAATGAAATGTGTTTTAACGACAGATGGAATGACCATTTTTAGGTCACCTGAGTAAACTCAGGTGACCTATTGCTATCTGTTTTCGTCCGTCGTCGTGCGGTGTGCGTCGTGCGTTAACATTTGAACATTTTCAGCTTCTTCTCTGCAACCACTGAACCAATTTCAACCAAATTTGGCACAAAGCATCTATGGGTAAAGGGAAACAAAAATGGTGAATTTCATGGTCCCTGCCCCCCTGGGGCCTGAGGGGTGGGGCAAAAACCACTAAAATTAATGCAATCTTTAAAAATCTTCTTCTTTACTCCTGGACATCAAGCAGTCAAACTGTTTGCATGACTGTAATCAGCATTGAGTCCTCTACCAAAATTGTGAAATTCATGGCCCTGGGGTCAGGGGTTGTAGTGCTAGGGCGGGGCTAAATAAGTATATAGTGAAAATGCATTATTTCTTTGAAAACCTTCTTCTCTGCTCCTGGGTATTAAATAAACTAACTAAGTGCATAGTTATGATGAGCAAGAGTGCCTCTACCAAAATTGTGAATTTTATGGCCCCAGGGTCAGGGGTTCTGGTGTTAGGGCGGGGCTCTATAGATTATATAGTGAAAATTCATGCATTCTTTGAAAATCTTCTTCTCTGCTCCTGGGTATTAAATAAACTAACTAAGTGCATAGTTATGATGAGCAAGAGTGCCTCTACCAAAATTGTGAATTTTATGGCCCCAGGGTCAGGGGTTCTGGTGTTAGGGCGGGGCTCTATAGATTATATAGTGAAAATTCATGAATTCTTTGAAAATCTTCTTCTCTGTTCCTGGGTATTAAATAAACTAACTAAGTGCATAGTTATGATGAGCAAGAGTGCCTCTACCAAAATTGTGAATTTTATGGCCCCAGGGTCAGGGGTTCTGGTGTAAGGGCGGGGCTCTATTGGTTATATAGTGAAAATACATGAATTTCATGAAAATCTTCTTTTCTGCTCCTGGGTATCAAATAAACTAACTAAGTGCATAGTTATGATGAGCAAAATTACCTCTACCAAAGTTGTGAATTTTATGGCCCCAGGGTCAGGGGTTCTGGTGTAAGGGCGGGGCTCTATAGATTACATAGTAAAATTACATGAATTCTTTGAAAATCTTCTTCTCTGCTCCTGGGTATTAAATAAACTAACTAAGTACATAGTTATGATGTGCAAGAGTGCCTCTACCAAAATTGTGAATTTTATGGCCCCAGGGTCAGGGTTCGGGTGTTAGGGCGGGGCTCTATTGATTATATAATGAAAATACATGAATTCTTTGAAAAATTTCTTTTCTGCTCCTAGGAATTAAATAAACTAAGTACATAGTTATGATGAGCAAGATTACCTCTTCCAAAGTTTTGATTCTATGGCCCTAGGGTCAGGGGTTCTAGTGATAGGGTGGGGCTCTATTGATTATATAGTGAAAATACATTAAATCTTTGAAAATTTTCTTCTCTGCTCTTGGGTATTAAGCAGATGAACTACCTATGTAGTTATGATGAGCAAGGACCCTAATCTTCCAGAAGTGAGAAATTATGAAAATGCAAATTATCATCAAATAAATGAGGAATTATTACAAGTTGACTGGGATAATACAGTATTCAATTCTGGAAATATTAATGAAATATATTCTAACCTTGTCTGTACTTTAAATAAATGTATTGATTAACATATTCCTAAGAAAACAATTACCATCAGACCAAGGAATAAAGTTTTTATGAATAATACAATATGCAAACTAATGAGAAAACGAAATAGAACTCACTATAAAGCAAAACATACGGACAATCCTCTGCATTGGCAGTCACACAGAGAACTTAGAAATACAGTTATTGATGAAATTCGAAAATCCCGAGAAAGGTAAAATAAAAAAATGTCTTCAATGATTGATAAATCAATTCCTCCTGGGAAATGGTGGAGAATTGTTAAATCAATATCAAAACTTAATAAAAATTATGAACCGTTACCACCATTAAAATCAAACGGCAAACTTATTTTCCATCCAGTTGAAAAAGCTACAGTACTAAATAAATACTTTGCCCAAGTTTCCTCCATTGATAATGAACCAGATATTCCTCTTCATGGACCTGGTCCACCACAACAAAATAATAACATTTTTCCCGAAATGCTTATCACCGAAGCTGAAATTTATGATCAGTTAACTATCATTGATAAAAGTAAACCACCTGGTCCTGATGGCATATCTCCAAGAGTACTAAAAGAAATATCCACTTCCATTAAAAGCCTCTGACAACTCTCTTTAACATGTCATTAAGGGAAAAAAAACTACCAGAGATCTGGAAGTTATCACAAATTACACCAGTCTTCAAAAATAAAGGGAGTGCTCAAGAAGTATCTAATTATAGACCAATATCTCTAACAAGTGTCTTGTGTAAATTGATGGAAAAAATACTATTTAAACATTTATGTAACTTTATGAAGGACAATAATATATTATACAAATACCAGTCTGGCTTTCAACCTGGTGATTCAACTGTTAATCAACTGGTAGAAATGTATAATACTATCATTTCGAATTTTGACAAAGGAAAAGATGTAAGATTTATTTTTTGTGATATCTCAAAGGCATTTGATAGAGTATGGCATAAAGGCCTTTTAACAAAATTAACAAATTATGGTATAAATGGCAATGTACTAGGTTGGATTGAGAATTACTTGTCTGATAGACAACAAAAAGTTGTAATAGATGGTTTTACATCAAACTCTGAAACAGTAAATGCTGGAGTTCCTTAGGATTCTGTCCTAGGACCATTCCTATTTATTTTATATATTAATGCACAGGCACCTGACGTTACTTATTTTTCTTTTAATAAAAAATATACCCTTACCTTATAATAAGGTAAAGGTATATTTTGTTTTAATTAAAAGAAAAATAAGTATTGTCAGGTGCCTGTGGGTACTCCTGGGGTTTCTCATTCACTACTGTTAATATTTTAGTGAGAAGTAAAAAAAAAGCTTGGTAGAAAATCTAATTGCTGGACACCCCCACAGGTGAACTAGTAAGGATTTTTGTGAAGAGCACCTTCAATTAATAATTACCTGGCAGATGTAGGACATTTCCAGGTACGATCTAACCCATGAAAAATCTTTATTGGTCATGGAAGCGTTTTAAAAATTAAATATAAATTCGATATGTAGGAAAAACCTTAGTAACGGCGATTTTACCGCCACATTCAATTCTCCTATTTTTCATCTAAGTGATCTAGGAGTCTAATTCCAGATTTTACCAATACCCTTAAATTAAGGTAAGTAAACATTGATGGAGAGTTTAAATGTTGATCTAATAACATTAATTAGTTATTGAGTAACATGATGTGTTTATTTGTCAGCTACTTAATATGTCACGAGAGAGAGAGAGAGAGCGAGAGAGTGTGTGTGTCAGAGAGAGAGAGCATACTTTTTAATCGCCAGGTGTCTGTGTTTTTAATATATAAGAATTAAAAGAAGAAATCGATTTAAAGCCTTAGCAATGAGAAATAGATGTCATGTTACAACTTTATGCTAGGTAGGATAATATCACCAGATATCTTTCCTATACCTACTAAACACAGGGACTAGCAACTGGGGCGTAAAAAAAAACATTACATGTATCTCATACATACATGTATGTTGGATAATATATCAATTAATATAAAACTAGAGTCGTATATACAAAAAAAAGTTGAATTTTAAGTCACTGTGCACTTATCATAGAAGGAATAAAAGATCGATTTATTTCAGATTTCTTTCCTAGAACTACCGTTTAGTGTATGTAGATACAAGTTGTAGTTTGTTACTGAAAGAATGACAAAAAGACAGAGGGACGACAAATATGAAAATGAAGTCAGGTAATGTATAGCCTAACACAGTGTTATTACATACATAACATATCTTCAGTCCTAATAGTAATACGAAACACGTATTTCAATAGCGTATTTGCACAATCATTGAAAGAATTTATTGCTCTTTTTGTCGATTTACCATGTATGGAGCCAGGATGGATCTTAATATTTGAATCATTCACCCTTCTAGATACTTTCTAAACCCGGAGTCGGTCAGTGTACATCTGTTTTGTTCAATTTGCCAAGACGTTTTCCAGGACCCCCAGCGAGCTCCGTGTGGTCATAGTTTTTGTAGAAAGGTAATGCAAGTATCTATTGAAGTTACATCAAGCTTACTTAATTTAATGCAGAGCTTGATTAATTTATTATCATGTTTATTGCCCTCAACTGTCGATGTCCATTAGGCACAAAATCATATGTATTAAAACATTTGATACTAGGAGTTTTCTCCCTTAAAAGATGAAGATTAACACAACTTTACTAATAATTTTTTTACTGTTTTGGGTATTTTAATAATGAGCATTTTTACTGTTTTGGGGTATTTTAATAATGAGCATTTTTACTGTTTTTGGGTATTTTAAATCAAAATTACGTATTTTTAGTGTATATTACCATGGTTACGACAGAGTAAATCTTGTCCGGAAGACCGGTAAGTAACAGTGCCCTGTATAAATTAGGCAATGTTAACTTTCCACCATTACTTTGTGTTTAAAACTTTTAAGAAATAGCTAGTTTGAGTGCCACAAACCTTCTAAAAATGTGTTTAAGAAATAAAGTTAAATTAGTTTATATTACATTGTTGTTTTGAATAGCGCTTAAACATTCAATACTTTTCAATATGCAAATTCAATATTAAAAACTGTCGAGTATTAATAAAAAGAATATATACATTTTTGTATTTCCTTGAATTCATTTGAAAATTCAAATATCAGGGAAAAAAACGCCTTTATTTATCATAATTTTTTGTAATATATGTTGCTATTTGCTATTTTTGTCAACTGATGTGCTGTACTGCCCAAAGTTATCTTCTGAATAAACTATATAAATTATTTCTTATTTACAGTAAACCTGTTAATGAGAAACAATTACATCATGACTTTATATTGGAAAACATCATTGGAGATCAAATGGTACGTTGACAGATACAGAAAATATGCAAATATGCATTTTATCTGAATGAAATGTGTTTTAACGACAGATGGAATGACCATTTTTAGGTCACCTGAGTAAACTCAGGTGACCTATTGCTATCTGTTTTCGTCCGTCGTCGTGCGGTGTGCGTCGTGCGTTAACATTTGAACATTTTCAGCTTCTTCTCTGCAACCACTGAACCAATTTCAACCAAATTTGGCACAAAGCATCTATGGGTAAAGGGAAACAAAAATGGTGAATTTCATGGTCCCTGCCCCCCTGGGGCCTGAGGGGTGGGGCAAAAACCACTAAAATTAATGCAATCTTTAAAAATCTTCTTCTTTACTCCTGGACATCAAGCAGTCAAACTGTTTGCATGACTGTAATCAGCATTGAGTCCTCTACCAAAATTGTGAAATTCATGGCCCTGGGGTCAGGGGTTGTAGTGCTAGGGCGGGGCTAAATAAGTATATAGTGAAAATGCATTATTTCTTTGAAAACCTTCTTCTCTGCTCCTGGGTATTAAATAAACTAACTAAGTGCATAGTTATGATGAGCAAGAGTGCCTCGACAACAATTGTGAATTTTATGTCAGCAGGGTGATGGTTCTGGTGTTAGGGCGGGGCTCTATAGATTATATAGTGAAAATTCATGCATTCTTTGAAAATCTTCTTCTCTGCTCCTGGGTATTAAATAAACTAACTAAGTGCATAGTTATGATGAGCAAGAGTGCCTCTACCAAAATTGTGAATTTTATGGCCCCAGGGTCAGGGGTTCTGGTGTTAGGGCGGGGCTCTATAGATTATATAGTGAAAATTCATGAATTCTTTGAAAATCTTCTTCTCTGTTCCTGGGTATTAAATAAACTAACTAAGTGCATAGTTATGATGAGCAAGAGTGCCTCTACCAAAATTGTGAATTTTATGGCCCCAGGGTCAGGGGTTCTGGTGTAAGGGCGGGGCTCTATTGGTTATATAGTGAAAATACATGAATTTCATGAAAATCTTCTTTTCTGCTCCTGGGTATCAAATAAACTAACTAAGTGCATAGTTATGATGAGCAAAATTACCTCTACCAAAGTTGTGAATTTTATGGCCCCAGGGTCAGGGGTTCTGGTGTAAGGGCGGGGCTCTATAGATTACATAGTAAAATTACATGAATTCTTTGAAAATCTTCTTCTCTGCTCCTGGGTATTAAATAAACTAACTAAGTACATAGTTATGATGTGCAAGAGTGCCTCTACCAAAATTGTGAATTTTATGGCCCCAGGGTCAGGGTTCGGGTGTTAGGGCGGGGCTCTATTGATTATATAATGAAAATACATGAATTCTTTGAAAAATTTCTTTTCTGCTCCTAGGAATTAAATAAACTAAGTACATAGTTATGATGAGCAAGATTACCTCTTCCAAAGTTTTGATTCTATGGCCCTAGGGTCAGGGGTTCTAGTGATAGGGTGGGGCTCTATTGATTATATAGTGAAAATACATTAAATCTTTGAAAATTTTCTTCTCTGCTCTTGGGTATTAAGCAGATGAACTACCTATGTAGTTATGATGAGCAAGGACCCTAATCTTCCAGAATTGTGAATTTCAAGGCCCCAGGGTCAGGGGTACCATAAGGGGGGGGGGGGGGGGGTTGTACTTATATACTGAAACTGGATGAATTGTTTAAGATCTGCTCCTTGGTATTAATCAAATATTTTTGAAAAGCAAGGGTGCCATTTCCAAAATTGTGCAATGTGTGGATCTAGGCCTAAGGGTCAGGGGTTCATGTGTGATAGGGGCATTACTGATTATTGCTGAATATTACTGATTACTTGAAATGCATTTTTTGTTCCCCCACCCTTCCTATGGGTATTAGTAAACAAACTAAGCAACTGCTAAGTGTATTGTTATGATGATCAATTACTGGTGCCTCTTTCAAAATTGTGAACACCATAGCATCTGGCTTAAAACATGAATCAAATTAAATCACTGGAAAGTTGTTGCATAATGCTCAGGTGACCTATAAGGCCCATGGGCCTCTTGTTGTTAGATCCCACTCATTGATTATCCTTACTGTAGTATTGGCAGCGTGTTTATAATTAATAGCTTTAGGTCTGCTCTGTGACTTCTGTCAATACAATACTGCTTTATGATCTGTTCTTTTTAATGTTGATAGCTTTAAATATCTGCACGAAAGATCTTGATTAATGCATGATAAAAGAATAAAGAAATATAGTTGAAAGACAGATTTTTATAAAGAACTGATCTATTTGCTGACATACCTAATTTCTTTCCCGTGTGGATGTTATAGGTGGCGTGTCCGTACCGGAAGTCGGGGTGTGACTATGTAGGACAGCTTCAGTTACTAGCATCCCACAAGAAAACTTGTAACTTTAACCCCGTCAATCTTCCTGATTTTCTCAAGGCCACCGACAGCCTTTGTGATAATGGTAAATCTTCTAAATCTCCAGAAAAAAAGAAGAGAGAAAAATCGGTCAATACTTGACTACTCCTTAAACATTAAATATTGCTTAAAAGATAATAGATTAAAACAAGAGATTATTCAATTTATATCCCTTTCCTTATGACAAACATTTTTTTTCACTAAAAAATTACTAATTGATTTTCAGTTAGATTTCGCGTATATGCACTTTAGTGTGTACGTGATGGCTGGTATGCTCGATGGCCCATAGACCTATTTGGTAAATATCTTTGCTCACCCTATAATTCCATGTTTGTGCTTCACAGTTGTAAGTTTTATAATTTTATAGACGTACTGAGTGTTGGTGACGAGTCATCTATCCCCACCCCTGGTAAACCCTCCCTCAAAATGAGACTGTTCCAAGCCGGGGACAGCAGGAAGGAGTTGCTTATGTCCATGTTTGATAAAAAGAAAAGCAGCAGTGTATCGTGACGTCAGCCAATCAGACTAGACCATCAGTATCTCGGGGTTAATTTATCTTGAACCTTCATATACAGCATGTCAATCTGGGGATCAAGAAAACTTGTGTTTCCATTGACAGGAAAGACTCGGCTTTATATATAAGAAAGATGTTGGAGCAGTGGCGGGGAACACACAACACGTATAGGGTTAAAATTTCCCACCATTTAACGATATCCAAATTTTTATAAACTCCAATGGGGGCTACTCCATGAATTATGAAAATTAACTGTGATTTCTGGCGGTGTTTTGATTAATTAAGTCGGGGTACATTAGAAAAATGAAAAAAAAGATGTTAATAACATTTGTACTCTTGTATATATATGTACATATGAATAAACCGTCCTTGTTTTACCAGATTCTTAGTGGTTTTTCTATCGTTGTACAGTTGTACTACTGAAATTCTCAAAGCTTTTCTCTTGCTGAATGAGTCAGTACAGACTGTACTGTTAACAGTTCGTTCATTTATATATAAGGGTAATAACATATATACCTCTTGGACGGTCTTATTTACTGACAGGGTCTGCAGAAAAAAAATAACCAAGGAGTGCATGTTCATCTTAGAAAAGTCACGGTACTGTGTAGTCTCTCGTGTGTTTAAAAAATCTGTTTTATTTAGAAAAACACTTTTTTTTTACATGATTTGTGTATTTCTTGATCACATTCGATACATGTACTATTTTTATGCAGTAAATTTTGAATTTACCGTCACCATTCATTTATACACTTTATTTGACGTTAACCTTTGAAATGTGTTTGTGAAACGCTGATGCTCCAGGACGGTAGCTTTTGGCAAGGTTGAAGTTCCTCAATTGTATGTCTAACTCAAGGTCAAGAGGACTGTCTTCTAGGGCTGGGAAGAGATATCGAGATATCTGTGAGGACAACACGCATATCGATACATTTGAAGAAATATCGAATTATCGCCCAAAAAAATCTGAGCTCTGTTTTTCTTTGTCTATTTAACAGTTGGGGTTTCATATATAAAGTAAATAAAATAAATATGAATAAAGTTATGAAATAAATAATAATTAACACCACTTGAGTAAAATATTTTTGTTTTACAACATATAAACAACTATTTTGAATAAATTATTCTTATTTGCAAAGAAATAATTTATTTCAATGCAAAAACAGATTTTATAAGCAGTTCAACATACCGTGATACACATCGTATCGTGGCTCAAATATCGTGATATGTATCGATATAGAAAAAGTTGTATCGTCCCAGTCCTACAGTTACTTCAATGAGTAACATATATATTTGAGATATATAAAAGTCCGCATGCAAACCTTTTAAAAGTTATGACCAAGATTAGTTTTTTGAAAGTGGGTCAGACTCCAAGGTCAACCTGAAAGGTAAAAATTAACGGTACCTAAAGTAAGACCTTGTTAAAAGAAATACACAAGTAAAACATAAAAGCCAAAAAACAGAGAGCTCAATAGTTGTGGTCAAGGTTAAAGATTTTTTTGAAAAGTGGGTAAAACTCTATGGTCAAGGTCAAAATGTCAAAAATATTTATACCCATTGAGAGATCTTGTCACAATTAATACAAGTATGAAAGACCTAGCCTCAATTGTCGAAAAGTTATGGCCAAGATTAAAGTTTGTTGGTATCCAAAGAAAGGTCTTGTCGTGAGGAATACAGCTATGAAATATGAAAGCCATAGCCCCACCACTCAAAAGATAAGGGTAAGGTTAAAGTCTTTGCGGACAGCTAGACAGACAGACAGACGGACAGGGCAAAATCTATTAACCACTGAATCTTCAATTACGGGGGCATAACCAATTCAAGATACATAGGCGTCGGAATCAAACTGAAAGTGGGGGGAGGGGGGGGGGCTAAACCAACAAAAAAAGGTAAACCCAATTTTCAATGCCTATATTGTGTATATATTTGCAAAAAAAGGGGGGGCTAAGCCCCCCCCCCCCCCCAGTCCCCCGGTTCCGAAGCCTATGGGATATCTGTAAAAATGCGGTCGGTGGGTAGTGAAAATATGTCAAACTTATAATAGAGTTACTTCTCCTTGTTTTTCCTTATTAGCATATGTTACTAGTTGGTGTATAAATATGAAATATCATTCAAATATATTAGTGTTTGAAATTTGACATTAGATAGGCAGAACAAATCAGTCGTTTGTAGTTCTTCAAACGTAGTTAAGTTTTAATTGATATACCAACACAGAGGTGACTGAACTTCTGGTTTTGATAGCTTATATAGTATCAATAACATGATGTATTCTGTTTACTGCTTTATCGTGTTTATCTGTAATTATAATTATATGTTATATGTTTATGCCCATTGGGCCCTGATTTGATTATAAATTCTATTCTATTTTGTTGTTGAGTACGTGGATGTAGTACAACTTCAGATAAAGCCCTCCAGTCATCAGAAAAATTAGACACGTCCAAATTTCAATCATCTGCAGAATATTTATAGAATATGAACTGAAATTCTAAAATTACCGGTAAAAAGCAATTTGTTGATGCAATATTGAAAAGAAAAATTATTTTGGATTGATTTGCTTCCATTTCATATCGGAAGAATGTGCAGGTATATACACATGCATTTTTTTTCTAAAGATATTTCGTGATGCTGGGGACAGACCCTGAATAACTTATTTAGTGAAAGAAAAGTCGCCCGCTGTCAACACGATTGCCTGGGGAATGGGGACCCTTTTCAGTAAGGTCATTCAAGTGTCGGTAAATCACAATTTCAATGTTGAGAACTGACTGTCAATACAAAAAGATATATACAGATGTAATTCTAAAGATCGATTTGGGTTTTATAACTTTATAAACAGTCGAAACTTAACACGCGCACACATCCATCCTCACACACCTTTAAAAAAATCTTCTTTCATTTGGGGGAGGGGGTATCCTTTTTAATAAAATAGTGGAATTTGCCAGTGTTTAAACTTAAAGCAACAAATGCTTGGAAGGGGAAGCAGCATCAACAAAAAAATTTACTCACAAATACTATAGCAAACAGACTTCACTCGGCCTACCCTTCCCCTTTCGTGTTTAAATTGCCTGTAATATGAAAACCTTTCATAAACTGTGACAAGTGCATCCACCTTGTACCTATAAAAATGCAGGTGTACTTCAGACGGCAGTCTTGTTAATAATATGCCTAGGTAAGACACATGTATATTGTAAAGAGTAATTTTATTCTACACTTCTCATGCATTAACTGCACACAGACTATTGGTAAGCATTAATGTATAAACAAGCTAATTCAGAGAATTCGTGTCCCCCGCTTAGGGAAAAAGTCGGCTCCCCCTGACTGAATTTGTAGAATTATTAAATGTATACATGTATACTGAAAGAAATAAAATACATGTGTGTCAATATGCATATAAAGATTTGATTGCTTATTCTTTATTATGTGTATAGAAGATTTTTTTATATGGAATATTTATCACACTGTAATGATGATTTTATAATCTCATAAATTTTTCATTTCACATGCTGAATACTATCATTTAGTAAAAAAAAAAGTATTTAAAAAAAAAAAAAAATGGGTTCGACCGAGATTCGATTCCGGGACCTCTCACATTTGAAGCGAGAGACATAACCACTAGACCACGGAATCGCTTTGCTCGGAGTGAAGTATATGCAGAACTCAAGTCACATACATGTATATATTCATGTTTTCATGTTCGGTATTCTCAAAATTTTACACAATCCATGGTGTTTGATTTATTTAGCCTTTATTAAACAGTTATAATAGATGTAATAAGAACATAAAGTCCGCCGAAAACCTGTTTTATACGCAATAACTCTCCTCATGCCCCTGCGCTAAAAATAGCGACATGTAATACTATAAATACTAATAAAACAAACGGGGCGGGGCACTTTGAGAGGGGCGAGAGACGTCCTAGGGAGTTTTGGTATAAAATTACATTGCATAAGCTCAAAATCTTCTTGAAATATCGCCCGGAAATGATAGTGTTACACACAGACAGAATGTATAAATTTACGACCTTGAACTTTGACCTTTCGACCTCAAAATCAATAGGGGTCTTCTTTAGGCCACAGGGAGTTGTTATGTAAAATTTCATTGCAATAGCTCAAATGGTTCTAGAGATATCGTGTGGAAACGAAAGTGTTTTAACAGACAGAATTTGCTTATTTATGACCTTGACCTTTGACCTTTTGACCTCAAAATCAATAGGGGTCTTCTTTAGTCCATAGGGAGTTGCTATGCTAAATTTCATTGCAAAAGTTCAAAGGGTTGTCGAGATATCGTGTGGAAACGAAAGCATTGCAGACAGAAAGAAAGACGGACGGACGGACGGACGGACAAACCCAAATTAATATCCCCCACTTTTCAAGCGGGGGACAAAAATCAATTTCCCAATGTGGGTATATCCTCAGGTAAATATATTGATTTGAGCATCTCCGTGTGCTTGGTTCTGTTAATGCTTTACCCGGCGCCGTGATTCATTCTTCTCTATTATCGAGTTTAAAATATAGCTCTAAATATGTAGTCCGTTATTCATGTAAACTTGCCCATAAGACAATAGGTATAAACATATGTTACAGGATCAATGAATCCGCGGAACTGATGTACAATATACCTGTCATTGACGAGTCATTGACGAGAAATCGAACGGGTGTGCATGTGTTGTGTTGACACTCCTCACTGTACAACGCTTTCAACATCTTCATCCGCGATGAGATCCTCTCCTTCCAATGAGTGACACCCCCACCACCACCACCCCCACACCCGGTCAATAATGAGGATTTCTGTCTTCTCGTAAGGTAAGAATCGGAATTATATATTTTTTATTTATTGAATGTAATAGGGAGTTCTGATCTGAATTCTGAAATGAAAATGAAAATCCATTTATGTAAACAGATAATTACGTGCATTTTGTTGCTAATAACTGATCCTCTGTTTTTTTTCTGATTTATGTTTAGCTATATTTATTTACCAGGTATTTATTCACCACTCAAGGGCCCTCTGGGGGCATATACAATTAAGAAACAAACAATATAAACATGATTATAACTATGCAAAATTGACTTGATCCTCACTTGTAAAAGTTTTCAGATTTGAAATACTGGTATAGTTCACAGTGAAATATACATGTAAGCATTACATACAATATAATAATAACAATACAATATGATGAAAGAAAAAAAATAAAAAAAATACCATGCTCCTTATACTGCAATGACCAGGCGGATAATAGCAAAAAGGGACATGTACATGTAATCATATTATTACAAAAAGTATATATATTTTGTTGGACTTGATAATCTAGGACAACTTCGGAATGGACATTTTTCCGAACTTGCGCACCCTTTTCCTTTAAAGCTATCATCTTAGGGTTTTTTTTAAATGGTGGGG